TCCCTGCATGTGTCTCTCGGGGTGAGGATGGCTGTGTGATGGTGGCTTCTGGCTGTGACAGAGGTCAGGAGCCCATCTGGTAGACTGGGCCTCTACTAGGCTATTCTGCAACAGACTCCTCCCAAAATCCTCCGTTTCAAGACTCAGCCTGGCTCAGCCAATGAGGCATTGTTGGGTCTTGCCACTGTGGTCCAAATGACACAGTTTGGGTCCAGGGCACCCTCAGTGTTGGTTATGTTCTTCCGTCAGTTGAGGTCTTTTGAGGGCCTGAGTGGATGCTGGCTTCTTGGGAGCACCCTGTAGACCCGCCTGGATTCTCTGCTCTGGCTTTTGCTGGGGTGATGATGGAAGTGTTCTCGTGTCCTGGTAGCCACCAGCCAGGCGTAGGCCCCATGCCAGCCCACCTGGATTCTCCACCTCCTTGGTAGAGGACGTGGCAGTACACAGGTGTGGGCAGCAGGACAGCATTGCTGCTAGGAAGACAAAAGGGCTGATCAGTCACTTGTACTGCCAGGACCGTCTTCTCATGTGGCTTCCTGGCTTCCTTTCTTTAGTTATGTCCTTCGAGGAATAAATTTTAATTTTGATGAGGTACAATCTATCAATTTTTTCTTCTTATGGATTATATCTTTGCTGTCATATCCAAGGAAATCTTTGTCCCGAGTTAGGACTCAAGGTCACAGAATTTCTCTAACTTTACTGATTTATTAAAAGCCTTTGTGAAAATATACCATGTGCCAAGCACTATGTGAGTGGCTGGTGGTTAAAAAAAAAAGTGCATAAAACACCATCTGTATCCTCAGGGTGTTCTAGCAGAGGTCAGAGGTGCACACAGGGAGGCACTGTTGCTTTTGCAGAAGTCCTTCCAGTTGCGGCAAGTAGGAGGAGGTACTTAGCTCTTCCAGAGGCAGCAGAGTATGCCGCATCAGTTCAGGGAGGGTCTGATCAGGGTTCTCGTGACCAGAGTCCTCCTCAGGACTCTAGAAGGGCATTGCTGAGAGTTTGGAGAGTATTCTACTGCCTAAGAACAAATCAGGAATTCCCCTAGTGGTTTTCCCTAGCAGAGCTGTCTTTCTCCAGTCAAGTGGGGAGTGAGGCCTTAATTATAAAAAATAAGAGAAGAGCGAATCCACCAGTGCTGACAGTGCAGGCGCTGACTCAAGATCGCCGGCTTTGAATGCCAGTGTTGTGGGCGGTTTGGGTGGAAGCTCTGCTCATCGTCCTCGTGCCTTTTGGAATATCAAGGTCAAGTTCTTCCTTGAGGCCCAGAGACAGGTGGTGGTGCTGGAATTCTCATTCGTAACGTAAGGATGGTGAGCAGGAGGTCTCTGCTTCAGCGGCCATGTGAAGATGTGGTTTATCAGTGGCTGTTCCTTGGTGAAGAGGCTTTTCATCACGTTGTTCACTTTTGTTGCTGTCCGTAAAAGAGAACAAACTCCTTGCAGAGCAGGACTGGCCCCAGGAACTATGCTAGGGAGGAATGGCAAGGTGGGAGTCAAGAGAAAGGTTCAGATACCTCAGGGGTGGATTCTCAGGGTGTGAAGGGACATGCCTGGGCTCTTGCCACTCCAAATTGTGGTCTGAGGACCAGCACCCTCGGCGGTAAGCCACATGCCCAGAGTGTAGGGTAGGAGAGCAGATCTTCTGTCCATTCTTCTCCAGGTGTCATTAGAGAAGAACCTACTTTTACCCAGGTGATTCCCAAGCACTGTGTCTGGTCCAGTGGCTCTGGGGTCCTCTGTGAATATGCTGGCTAGGTGGTCATCTGTCCTCCCTGTGTAATAATTCAGGGCACGGAGAGCCAAGGTCAGAGAGCAGATGTGAACGAGCCTTTTATTTTTCTTTTTCGATCAGGCTGGTTAGGCAGATAAGTGGGCTTAAGTGGATAAATTGCTGCGCTCCACTTTGCAAGGGCAGGTCGCTGTGTGAGTCACCCTTTAAAATGGCAAACTAACTGCTTAAAAGGTTGCAGAAAATAAGGTGGTGGCTTTGGTCTGTGATTCTGGGCTCAGTTAGCCTCATACTACAGTGTATTTATTTTTAGGAAAATGCAGTGCTGTTGACTAGGACAACGGTTAGTGCAGATGAGTTGTCATCCATTATTCCAATTGCTTCTGTTTAAAGTGTCACTCACCTGCTCTTTTTCATGCTCAGACGAACAGATTGACGTTAGCAGGGGCTGTCAAACTTCAGCATGGGTCACAATCGCTGGGAGATTTATCTATATAAACAGGTTGCCAGGTCCCATCCCTAGTTTTTGATTCAGTTTATGGGGTGGGAACTGACAGTTTGCATTTTTAGCAACTCTCCTGTGATTCCAAAGGTGGATCATCAGAAATGGTAACTTCATATGCCTTTTGAGCACCACTGAGCCATCGATCCTGTGCTCTGATGATATAGAACGTAAAGCCAATTTCCAGCAATCCATAGTCAAGAGATAAGAGTATCTTAGAGAATTTAAATGCAGAAATAATCTAAGAAGCCACTAATTTATTTTCCTCCCTCTCCCTCCCTCCTTTCAGAACTGGGAGTGGAACGCAGGGCCTTGCACATGCTAGGCAGGTGTTCTGATGAGCTATGCCCCTGGACCCACAAACCATTGCTCTCAAACTCCTGTATTGCAAACCTACATGGGAATTGCTAACAGTATGATTTGCTTCCATTTCCCATTTTACAGTAGTTGTTCCTACCTACCTACCTCTGTTGGAACATCAGATAGTTCTGATTGACTGTATGATGTTTGAGGGTGAAGTCCTAAGCACCCTGGGGTTGGTGGTTGGTGGCACTGGCTGGTGTGGCTCAGAAACTGTGCCTGCGGACTGGCTTTGAACCTTCCAGGCAGGCACAGTCCTGGGTTTGGTCGTAGGCCATAGCCTCAGTTATGCCCTCGTTTCCTTGTAGACTCAGACTGTGCAAACAGTTGTGTTGCGTGAAGACCTGAGGTTCTAGCATCACTGAAGTCCCTTAGGGAATTAATCCATCTTTGGCACGACACAGATCCCTAGTCTCGGATCTGGATTATTTTGGGGGAAAATTTCCACCTGTGGCTGCCTCTTAGCTTTGAGTGTTCCGCTCTGAACTCCTCAGTGACCCTTGTCAGAAGTCTGGCTGCAGACTGCTCGGTAGTGAGACTTCTTGCCAGGGGAGGCCGTGACCACAGTTTAGACCAAAATGGAGTAGAGACAGGACTTACCTCATTGGAGTGCCTTGCTGCACTTCACATCATTAGAAACAGAGACATAGGACTTTTTTTATATAAAAAATTTATTGAGATGATGTAATTATAGGCTTTTCTTTAAAAATTATTTGCAACTCACTGGCCCTGAGAAAAGGCTTTTTTTTTTTTTTTTAACTTTTTGTTACATTCATTTGATTCAGTCCCTTATAAACCCCACACCTCATAAAGAAGAGATTAGAAACTAAACCAAAAAAAAAAGCTAGATTCGTTCTGGTTTGCAGGTATGTTCAGTCACAGAGAGAAATCTTCAAGAACGTTCCCTTGGCATGTATGAAAGATTCAGGGAGTTTGCAGTTGCTTAGTGTTGATGCAAATGGGGCCAAGAGTATTGGGTTAGTCTTGTGTGGTCTGTAGATGGGCAGATTATTGGGTGTCCCTTCCCTTCCCCACCCCACTGGCTTCCGTCATTCTCTTTACTCCAGGCTTCTATTCAGAGGAGCAGGCTAAGGGACTGAACGGCTCCTCACTAGCACCTAATGCTTTGGCAAAAATACCTGCCCTTTGTTCTTTGCATTTCCCAATCTTTGATTTTCAAGTTTCCTGGGAGAGAACGGGTCAAACAGGGTGTATGGCAGGGCTTGACCCCAGTTCTAATTCCACCTAGCACAAGTGGAATCACCTGACACTTGGGGTTCCCTTCTGCAAAAGGCAGTATTTCAAAAATGCTTTCAGGATGGGATCCTAGGTGCCAAAGATGGATCTGGTGGTTACTTAGTCATTTTGGTAAATTCTGTTATTCATATGTCAGCGTGACACTCTCAGTTGGACAAGACATTAGATCAGAGCGTCTGAAACACAGTGAAGGAGAAAAATCCATCTGTCTGTCATTTCTCTTGTTCAAGAACTTAGAGCATCAGTGATTCTGCCTTACATAAGACTAAGTTGCCTTAGATGACGAGCTAAGGAAGTGACAATGTTACCTTCTGACGGAGAGGAGACAGCCTGGCTACAGGCCAAGACACAAGAGAGGATGCCCATCTTTGACCTAGCAGTGCTGGTCTGCATTTTCTCTTTCTGGCTTCAGACTTTGTGAGCTAAGAATTCCCACGGTGGCAAGAAAGGCCAACTATTCAGATGATATATGAGATTTTAATTTGGTCCTGGGTGAAATTTTCATCATCTCTAGCATTGATGGCTGAAGTGAGACCTGTCATGACAGGTGGATCCTACAGGTAGAACATAAACTCTCAGAGGGCAGGGATTATGCTTGGTTTATCTCTGAAACCCTCAGTGTCAGCTGGTGCTTCCTCAAAGTTTGACCAATTTTATAGTCTGCAGTGTGTAAATAACCATTCCCCAGGGGTTGGCACTGAGAAGAGTTATTCTTTCACAGAGACAATGAGAAGGACGTTTGCAGTGAAGAGAATCAACTGAAAAGCAGTACTGGTAATATCTGAATGGAAAATAAAGACTACACTGGACTTAATTTCTACTTGAAGTGTCATCCAAAGCCTTGCATTGTCTCACCGGACGTTCCTCCACACGCAGAGATCCTTGGGCCGGAGGGAATTTTCCTCCATATTTCACTGTAAGATTCTTTGAACAACAAGAGACTGAGTTCTGATATTTGAATAAACTGGCCAGAATGTGACGTCCTGAATCTCAGGAAAGAGCAACATCATGTCACGGTCTGATTTCATATTCATACAAAGGGCCTTAGTTAGATAACCCTTTCTCTCCAGCTCTTACTCAGTGACTTTTACAATACACCAGTTTTTTTTTTTTTTTTTTTTTTTTTCAA